ACTAATAGACTTAGGGCCAAAGGTAGAAAGATGAATCTCATATATTGCAGAATTGCAGTTCAAATGCTCGTGTGATAAAGCATGGTTGTAATAAGCCGAGTACTGTGAAGCAGAATAATCTCATTTATCGCCATCTTAGAGAAGAAGGTTAATTCCACTGTATGATATATGATATAAACCTAAGTTTTACACTACAATCTCACACTTCAGTTCATTGCGAACTGGACCACACCAAAGCCATAGCGAGAAAAGTAACTTATAACTACTTGTAGATTTAATTTTCTTCTTATTCAACTCAACCTAGTGGAATCAAATGCTCAATATAAACATGCTGTTTGGAATATATAACTAGATTTAATAGAGTATTATTGCAAAATGATCTCAAACGGAGGAGCAACCCATGTGGTACACCTTTAACCCCAACAGTTGTGTCCTTGAGTTTGAACTAAATACCTTAGGGCATGCTTGGATATAAAAATTTCCACTCAAAATGGATTTTTTTGGTTAACCAGTGTTAATTTAGAAAAAGGTGGTATTGTTAATTGTTAGTGGGATTTTGAGTTTATATTAAAATAATATTTAAAATAAATTAATTAAAGTTAATTTGATGAAAAAGTAGGAGAGAGATGATGTAAAGTGATGTTTTGTTAAAATTATGTGATATGATGAATAGTGAATTAAAGTTGATATGATGCGTAAGAATTATTGATTGATATTATTTAATTATATTGACAATATTGAAGATAGTGAAGTTGAGTTCAAGTTGAGCTAGAATTTGAGTTGGACTGAAAATATTTATATCCAAGCACGCCACTATCCATTAGCAGCTAAATGAGTATAGAGGGGTAAAACAGAATAAAAGTGAACGGAATTCTTACAGAAAGATAATCTCATGGTGAAGACTCACCATACACTCCATTTCTCCAACAGAAAACAAACCATCCTTAGTTACTTCTGCAAAAAGAAACACAACAGGTTCTCTTTTACAGTCAATTTCTTCTGAATGAAAACAACTCATTAACACAAATGTCAAGCAGGACTGATGATACCATTGCGCTTTACTCCCAAGTGGTTCAGCAATGCTTCTTCAATTTCTCTAGAACCCCGTATCATGCAAGGAGTTGTACCACATACCAAAAGATGGTATTTTCCAACCTTACATTGCCATCGATAAGATTAAATTAATGAGGAATAATCATAAAATAAAATAAAACAAAATAAAATCAGTAAGTCTTATATGGAAA